GGTGTTTCACTCTTGTCCATATATTCAAACAACGACGTCTTCCCTTATTTCTCTTTGTCACCGGATACTTACAAAGAAGAAGAGCATAACCGGATCAATAGTGAGCGGAATGTTATTTGATTTAATAATATCAAAATAAGTGACATCTACTTAATTTTCATTTATAATTTGGCTACTGAGCAAATTAACCCTTAGTTATTATCCACACTCTAGATAACTGAACACCAAAAGAATATTCAAACTTCCAGTATTTCGTTGTTTGATACTCAAATTATTTATGCTCAAAAATTCAAATCTGGATCCGAGAAATTACCAAATACATACATAACATAAATCAGATAATAAAACTTTGTGTTCAATTCCACAAAGAGTACTGAGTTATAATAACCAGAGATGAGAAAGTTGATAGATACCAAGTATCTTACCATCGACTTGGAAGTGAGGAAGCTGACGTGGTTAAATGAAAGGGGTAAATCAAAGCCTTGGGTTGGTCTAGAGGGTTTTCTATTAGAAGCTCTGAAGCAGCTATCTGTGTTCTGGTATTGAAGTTTTCTCGAGCATTATTGCTAGAGATAAAAAAACGAGAAACAAAACCATCATTAGAACTCACAGACACACTAACCACAGTCGCTACTGTTATCTGCTTCACCATATCTGACCCATGCAAAGACACTTCTGCAACTAACTTCTCCTCTGATTTTTTCCAGAGGTGGTGACTTTGTCACCTGCTCTAGTTCTGTCTGGTAAACAACTTCCCTGGTTGAGACTGTATCCAGAGAACTTAGAGCAGAATGTAACAACTTTCTCATTACTAACTCAATATTTCTTCATTCCCTTTCTCATTGCTAACTCCATCTTCTTCCATATCGAGAACTTTGTCCATTCTTTTCTCTCAATTTCCCAATAATAAGAATCATCAGTATCAGTTAAAGTGAGAGTAGTCATAAAGGACTGAACCTAGATTTGAATATCTAATCTGTTATAAGGAGGAAAAATATGTAGCATAAAAAAAATTCAAGATAAATGCACAAATAATAAAAGAAAGAGCTCAGTCCACAGCATTGACATCTAAGAATGGCAAGGAACTATTCTACCACTAGACCGACCACTGGTGCTGATTTTATACATGATTACAGACATTTATTTATCCTTTATTCTCTATACAACAACCGCAACAAGAGCTTTGATTCTCATAACTGGTAGATCTCAATGTGTATGTAGGGGTCCACTCCCAATAGAGAACATTATTGGAAGATCTGTGTTCCGGTATTGACGACCGAGCAAAGTATCAGACACCATCTAATCAAAATAAATGACAAAGCTCCCAATCAGTCCATAGCATTCTCCAACACGTAATAAGGACAATGCATGCAATATGGACATTAAAGATGCCTAATTCCTGATCTATATGATAAAAATGCACAATATATGAAGGCTAAAAACATGTAAATATTCAAGATATCAAAGAACAGCAAAGAAAACGGCAGAAATTCATAGAGTTTTGTATTGGCTGGAAAAAGATTCAAGGTCAGATATGGAATCAATTTGGTACAATTCTTGGTTCTTGGGGATCATTTGATTATCAATGATTCTGGAGATTACTCCAATGCTTGTGAGGATACATGAGAAAAGACTACTCTTCTATATGGCATCATTGGAGATACAAGACATTGGAATGTGCAGCAAGCTTACATATAAGCAAGGAAGCAGTTCTGGCGGTACAAATCTTTAATGTGGTTCTCTCTCAAGTTCAGTTTCAATATGTTTTCTTTAGAGAGATGATTTTGTCTTCCGGCAGAGTTGCTACAGAATTGACTGGTTTATTGCTGAGAGACATAGACATTCTATTACTGCCTTCTAAAAGAGAATTACAAACCAGTAGCTTAATACAATAGCTGTTAAGCACTTTCTTTCTTCTGGTCTGGGAACTGCATGAACTGATGTGGGAGTGGTAATGTTTGACAGAAAATATAGTTCATTCACCAGGTTCAAGCTTGTGGGCAAGCTTATTTTTAAGCAAGGAAGCAGTTCTGGCAGTACAAATCTTTAATGTGGTTCTCTCTCAAGTTCAGTTTCAAGATGTTTTCTTTAGAGAGATGATGTTGTCTTCCGGCAGAGTTGCTACAGAATTGACTGGTTTGTTGCTGAGAGACATAGGCATTCTATTGCTGCCTTCTAAAAGAGAATTACAGACCAGTAGCTTAATACAATAGCTGTTAAGCACTTTCTTTCATCTGGTCTGGGAACTGCATGAACTGATGTGGGAGTGGTAATGTTTGACTGAAAATATAGTTCATTCACCAGGTTAGCTTGTGGGCAAGCTTATTTTTAAGAATGGGAGTATACAAGAGAGTATTTGCTGGTGTTTGTGGTTAATGGATGTGCTGATTTGGTGGTTTGCTATAGCAAGCGAGTCTGATCTTTTTGAGAAGGAGGTGAGAAAACAGTGGAAAAAGGAAGTACCGATTACACATTATCTATTACAAGTTATGAAGAATCAGTTGCATAATGAAAGATGCTGTTTATGGATACATATCAAGAAACAGCTGGAAAAAATGTTCCAAAACCTGGATGTTCAAATACTAACAAAAGAGGTTTGAATTCAGGGAGGTGAGTACAAAGGATCAGCGGGAATCAAGCTTAGGCAAGAGCAGCCAGTCACGTTTATGCATTCTTTTTGAAGAATAGATTAGCTTCCATGTATATGTTTTGCAATTTGGTCCTAGACTTGAGGAAGCTAGAACCTGCAGTTTCATGAGATTACTTGGCTATAGTCAATGGGGTTTGATCATCAGTTTCCAAATGATAAGCTTAATGGCAAGCTTAGTTTCAATGGGGGATGTATTGATAGATACCAAGTATCTTACCATCGACTTGGAAGTGAGGAAGCTGACGTGGCTGGGTCTGACGTGGTTAAATAAAGGGGGTAAAGCAAAGCCTTGGGTTGGTCCAGAGGGTTTTCTATTAGAAGCTCTAAAGCAGCTATCGAGAGATGACTATATAAGAACGGAGAAGAGTATGACGAGGGACTTATGCTTTGATGTTGATGTAGAAAGACGCTATGAGTCTTCTCTCTCGATCGCCATGAGATCGATGTCTCTAGCTAGGTTCACCATGAGAGCTTAGTTAGTTTCATACTCAAAGCTTTGTTCATTGTTTCCGGTTTATAATACAAGAGTTACAGAGTTTATAAAGTTACGAATATCTAAACTCTATCAGAAGTAGTTACCATTTTCGTGTTTTAAAACTAATTAGATCATGACCCGCGTGGATGTGAGGGTTTTGTTTTTCTGGTGTACTCTATATAATTTAGTTTTCTATAGTTTTGAATTTATCCAGTTCGATTTTATGTTTAACGAACAATATCAAAACTATCTTTTGTATTAATAGCGTCAAACAGTGTATTATGTAGATATAATCGTGTAATGAAAACACTATTCAGTACGTTTGTTCGAAATGCTTAATCAAATTCAAAGTTAACTGTTTGCATTAAAAAAAATAAGTTGAGAGTTTAATTACTTCTGATGTTAATAATTATCCAAAGTTTTTAAAATAATATACATATTTTTAAAATATTTGGCCTTAACCTTTATTTTATATGTTAAGTCAAATTCAAACTTAACTTTGGTCTTAACTTTGCAAGCATGTATATTTTATGATGAAAATTTTATAAATAACTTAACATGTATTTTGGTAATTTGAAATAATTTATGTATTTAAAATATTTTTTCATTTGAATTAGTATTTTTAAATTCAACCTGGACAGAGGTTAAATCGGTGATCCGATAACTCAATTTTGATTTTTAAAAATATCCATATTTAAAAAGTCACTAAAACCCGAGACTAACCGAATAACTGATTCTAATATTTAAATCTGTAAAAATGAGTTATTTTCATTGTTTTATATATTATATGATCTATTTAATTTATCTAAATAATTTGAAAGAGATAGTGAAAAATATTAAAAAGAGTGAGATCTAATATTTTGTATTGTTTGGACATAAGATTAATGATAGGTTGTTTGGAAACATGGATAGTAGTATAAAGAAATAAGTATATTGTTTAGGTCCAACATAATGTTTTTGTTTTAATAAGATAGACTAGAATTTAATCCGTACAACCGTGCAGGTGTATTTCATTTTTTATGAATTAAGATTAAGAATGTTTTATGGTTTTTTCTCAATTTTAAGCAACTTTTACCCTAACATAACCTATTTTTCATTGGATACACTTTATGATTGTCATTTTAGCTAATTAATTATTATATTTTTTATTTTTATATTTAAAAGAGAAATGAATGATTTTTCTAACATAAGATTTTTAAAATGTATTTTTGAAAAATTAATCAATTTAAACTTTAAAATTCATTAAATATAATTAAAAATATTTTACGTAATCTTTAATTTTTGTTTTCACATCAAAACACATTAATTTTTATTTTTATTTATATCTTATGATTATTTGGAATTTAAGTTAGTTAATTTTTGAAAATTATTTTAAAATATTTTGTTAGAATTTTTTTTAAATATTTATTTTTCTTTCAAATAAAAAGATAAAATATCAGAAGATATTATAACTAAATTATGTAAAAATTGATAAAAATTCTAATGAATGATTCAAAATAAAATATCACACATGAAATTAGTCCCGATTTCTATTTTAATAGTATACTTTGGTTTTAACCCGTGCAACCGCGCGGATATTAGTTTTTTTTATATGTGTATTGATTCGTTTTTGCTTTTAACAAACTTATTACAAGATGGAAAATCTAATTATTTGGGGCTGTTCTTGGCTGAAACAGCTTATGCAGAATTCCTTCAGATCGTATAGCACCAAGGACCTAATATAGACGTGTGGTCGCCATGAGTAAGTTTGTTTTTCACACGTTTTATTTTTGTTTTGTTGAGTATTAGTGATTAAATTTTTTTCGTTTTTGTTTCGTATTGTTAAGAGAAAGAAGGAACCTTTTTTGGACATTGTTGAGGAAGACAGTGATGAGAATGTTTGTGCTGCGATTGAGGTTAAAGAGAGGGATAGGATTCTTCCTGGTGCAGTGGATCTTGGTGATTAGGAAATTGGAGGATATGAAAGGGAGTCTGAGGAAGAGGAAGAGATTGTGCCGGAGAAGAAGACTTCAAAGAAACGTAAAGGATATAAAGCTCGAGCAAAAGCCCCAGCTCCAAGTAGGATCTTGACCAGCGCGAGTCTTATTTACAAGTATTTGTTGTTATTCACGTTTGATGATTTTGTAGGAGGAAGAAGTGTAAGTTAGCTACTACTAAAGACACTACCCTGGAAAGAGAAAACGCAGATGTTGTAAACAAAAGCAATACTGTAAAGAAGAAGAGGAAAACATTGGATGTGCAGAGAGCTGAAAACGATGAACAGAATGATGCTATCTCCAATTCCATTAACAAGTCAAAGAAGAAAGTGTATGTTTTGTTTTTTGTTACAACTCGCTACGAACTCATGAATTATTTCTCACTGGTTGTTTCTCCATTGCTTTTCAAATTTCAGGTCCTCGCTTCAAGAAGAGAGCAAAGAGCCTGAGAAATTGTGTAACATGTCTGCTGAAACTAAAAAGGTTCAAGTCTTCAGTGTCCTGTAAGTTTTCAGTTACCTGGTGAATGGGGTCAGATTTCAATTTTGTGTTTTCTCATGTCTTGATTTAAAAGGATCAAGAGAGAGATGAGCTGCCACAATATGAACACATCTATCAAAATGACTTCCCTTATCGAAACTAACAACTTTTCTTTTGTGTGTTCCTCTAAAGTACATAGATTTCGTTTACATTCTTCCTAAAGTAGACATTTTTTTACTAGGCGAATGCAAGTTTAATTTTGGAGATCCTGACAGTGTGGTGAGAGGTGCCCCAATGTGATAACCAATACGGAGTGTACACATGGTTACTGCCCTTGTGGTGTCTATTGCAAGAATCAGGTTAATGCTTGTCTGAATGTTTGGTTTGATGCTGTCAAGAGTGTAGAATATTTGTCTTAAAGCTTGGTAACGTTCTTAGAAGTTAGTGTGGTGTCTTTCATTTGCATCTGCGATAAATAACGCCAAATCTTGCACCTCCACCGCCTCGGATCGCCCAAAACAGATCTTCCCCCATGGAGGCACGGTTCAAGATCCTGCCGTTGACGTCAACTAACTGAGCATCAACAACATGATCCACCGAGAGACCGTGTTTTCTAATCATATTCCCATACCCTCCATCGCTGATGTGTCCTCCTGCTTTTACCGTTGGGAAAATACCAGCTGGAGACGCTAGCGTTTTGCTCTTTTCAGCGATTTTTGTGTAGAGTTCTCCCAAGATGGCCCCAGCTTGAAGCCAAGATTTCTTTCTTGGCACGTCCATGGTTATAGACCTGAGATTGTGCATATCGAGAATGATAAAAGGTATAGAGGAGACGTGGGAGAGGCCGTCCAAGTCGTGACCACCACTACGGGTTCGGATCTGGATTCCGTTGGACTTTGCGCAGACCACGGTTGCATGAACATGGGATTTGTGTTTTGCAGCAACGATGGCTATTATCATTAGGGTTTGAGCATCTTTCGTTTTTCGTGTAGGACACATAAGATGTCACGAAGCTAGAGTTATCGGGGCTATAGATGTGATATCACTCAAATTACCTTGGTTCAGCTGTAGTACTTAGAGATCGAATTCACAAGGAACTAAGAACCTAATAGATCTAGTTAAATATAACTCTAGGTGAATTTATAAATAGCATAAACAATAGATGAGAAAAAAGAAAATATTCCAATTAAGCAAGAAAATTACTTAATCTAGAATGGAAACTAAGATTTTTAAAACTAAAATGGAAAAGATGCTAGACTTATGGTTTTTATTCAGGTTTATAGGATTATAATTCTATAGAGATGTTATTCAGTTGCTTGCGAGATACTAAAGAGCATTAACTATCTTGATTAACAAATTATCTAAACTAACGTTCAAATAAATAAGTCTAATGACCAGATGATCGCACTTGACAGTGTCGATCGATTACTCGATAGGAACATCGACCGATACACTAAACTCATCATCGATCGATTTCTGTTAGGAAGATCGATCGATGAGTCCGGTCAAGCAATAGACACGAGTTAACATAAACTCAGTAAATATTTCTAAATCAAATCTTATCAGGTATATTTCTAATAAATTTTAGCTTAATAAGGATGTGTTCATGACTATCAGAATCACTTAAATGTCTCTAATCCAACCTAAATAATTTGGGATTCAATGTTTCTAGTTAGCTACTCTAGAACCATGAGCAATTAAAACATCCTTTTAATGACTATCACAATTTTGTGTTCAAAAAAAAAAAAAAAAAAAAAAAAAAAAAAAATGACTATCACAACTAGCAATCCTATAGGTTGGGCTAATCTCTCTAACCTATTTAAACCCTAAATCTAACAAGTAAACTACTCAGACATAGCTAAGCAATTCATAACACAAGTAAATAAATAAAACTGCATATTATAAATAAATAGATAGGCAGAAAACACTAGAGTTCCAATATCAAATCTCTCTGAAGATTTTCTCTCCAAACTATAAAAAATCCTAAAACTTTGATGTGAAAAGAATACAATAAAACTCTTTCTCTTGTCTCTAACACTTTAACAGAATATATAAACTTAGGTTAAAATTCGTCTGGGGTAAAATTGTCATTTGGTGATGATTGGGCATCAAGTCAACTTGTCTCTCGAATTGGCTTCTGGGTCTTGATAATCGATCGATTATGCAGGATGCATGTCGATCGATCCGGTCTCTCTGTGTCGACCTCGTAATCGAGTCTGAATCAAACGCTTCTTCCAATTCCCTCTAAAATGTTCCAAAAACATCACTTTCTTTCAAAACATTCAGCTCATAAATATCTTTAAAGGCTTCTATAGTATAAAAAATGGTAGTAAAAACACTAATATACTATGATTAAAAATAGGTTAAAATCATGGTATATCAAAATGGTGTCAATGATCGGATTCTCTGGACTTGTCCGAGAACGAAGACATTGGAGGAAGTTATCTGTATTAGGTTTCGTAACTTTTGGGTATGAAACTGAAACAAGAACAAGAAACAGAACACAAAGTACTTCCTTCATTTTATTTTATTTTGAAGAGTGTTAATAAGTGCAGAGAAGATGATGCATATATATACAATGTGCACAAAGGAATGCACAAGTAACTTAGCTATAGAAATCTGTAAAACATTCCATACGAAGAAGATTTAAGAAGGTTTCATATTAATTTCATATACAGTATGTTCCGACAAAGAACGTAGAAAAATCAAACTCCAAGATATTTGTTGTAGCAAATGGTTTCAGTTTGTAGAATAAAAAAAAGATCTGCAGAAAAAGTTACTTCGACAGTTGAATTAATTTGTCATATAGGTTTCCTTTTGATAAACATACAGAATATAAAAATGCATGTAACGTATTGTGAAACTGCATTATTTAAAAAAGAAAACTGCATTATTTTATTTAAGAATAAAGATTATGTTCTGTTGGTAAAATTAGTTCTATTTTATTCAGAATCAGCTATGGTAAAATGTTTTGTAAAGTATTAAATAATAAAAACTGTAAATATTATCTCAAAGCACTGATAATTAATAATGCAATACATTAATGAAAGATTGAGATTCTCTCAAATAACACAACTCATAATAAATTTAATTTTATTGCATATGCATTAACTAAAACATTACTAATCTGATATTACTGCATCAAACTTAACTAATAATAGTATTCAATTTACATTTATACATAATATAATTAAATACGATAATCACGTTATTCTATAATTTTATAAAAAGAAAAATTAATAACATATACAATTACTATAGTATGGTATATTTATTTGCTTAAAATAGACCATTTACAAATGACATTCGCCTTATGAGAGATGTTTGCATTAATTTGCTTGATTTGTTTTCTCAAATATAAATGTTAAACATTTTGTCATCAAAACATAACTTGATCCGATGATTACTACATTTTTCATCAACAAAATCTGAAATCTCAAGTATATAAATTAATATGTCAAAATAAAATCTCAATATAAATGATTTTGTTTAATGAGTTGGTTGATAATCAGTACACAAAAACCATGTAAATATTTAAGATTTCGAATTTTGTTAATAACACAGTTTGTTTTTAAGACTTTTCTTAACATGCTTTTGCATACTCATTGCATAATTATATGCTCTTGGAGAACGTCCCCAGTCCTATATTATACTCCAAATTTTACGTTAAGTTTCCCAATCTACAGAGTGATGGTCTGGTTTGTATGATTTAAAGACCAATATATGAGTGGTGTTTTAAGAAAAAAATTTGGATTAGTCTGATTTGTGTTTTATTTTTATTTATAATGTGTTTCCATAAGCTAACTTGAGAGACGCTAATGTTTGTACATAAATTGTAAACTCATTTTAAAATACAGAATATAAGGTAAAGTTACTTCTATGGTTCTACGAAGATGGTAATTTTAAATTTTACATTTGTTTCGCAAAGATAATCGTTTTATGTTTTGAATCTATGATTATAAATTATTTACCCATTTTACCCATATTTATTAAAATAATTACAATATTTAATAATTATTTTAGAAGATTATAGATAAAGTAGGTAAAACTTTTTTGATATCATAGCTTTATCACTAAATTATGTGAAAATTAAAAGAAAAGTTAAAGTTTTGTGAAAATAATGTTTATATGGTATAAAGTAAAAAAACCTAAGTTAGTTATATTCCAAAATTACTGAAAAGAAAGAAAATAGAAATTATAAAACTAATTAAAATTATTAAAAATAAATAAATACAATCAAACAAGACCATTTACGTAGTAAACACAAATTAAACTAAAATACATAAACTGTTCGTAACGCGGTGAAAAAATCTAGTATTATTAAAACATAAATTTAAGGCAGTAGATACATTTATGGAAATGTTTTAAAAATAGATATCGTGTGCATTAGTTAAGGTAGATAACATTTTGTTGATCTCTTATATATTAATCCTAAAGCATTACAACATATTTTAATACCCACATGTCATTATTACGTTGATTCTTAAAATCCTTAGAAAAATAAGTTGGTACATCTCGATATATAATATACTTTTTATTAAACTAACTATGCAATTAAAAGCTACGAAATTGCCTAATATGGTTAACAAATATATGACAACTAACGATTTTGAATAATAAAAATCTGCTAACAATTTTTTATCTTCCATCATTATTTTAATTTATATTTTAAAATAAATTAAACAATCATATTAATAATATAATAAAAATTGTAGATTTTTTTATTATATGTTATATTTTGAATTTGTTAAACGATTATAAATTACTAAATTTTTAAAAGTCAATATTGAAATTTTTGTGATCAATGATTTAACTTTTTGTTATAACAAAATACAAATGATCATAAACTCATATAAAAATGAAATCTCTTTAATATATATTCAGAGTATATATATGTAATACATAAACATGTTAATTTCAAATTTTTCTTTGAGTAGGAAGCATCAGTTAATAAATATTCAGATAAATAAAAATAATATTTGTTACAGTAAATATAAAAATGTTAGTTAAATCATATGAGTATGAATTTCAATTAATAAATATTCATATTAAAATATATTATATAATTTTGTTAATATAATTTAAGTTTAATTATATACCATATAAAATAAATAATTAAGTATTTTGATTTTTTACCAACAAAACAATATTGTAAATACAAAGAAGGATGATTTTTATTTATATGTTTACTCTAGTTTAACTATATATTTAATAGTTACTCGCTTCTCGATTATTCAATATATTTTTACTGCATAATTCGTAAATGAAACTAAAATAAATAATAATATATGTAAATGATTTGTATACATAATTAATGTTCATTCTGCACAAGCGCGGTTCTGAAAATTTATTTATTCTGTCAAATATATAATTTTTCACATCAAAGCGAGATGGTGAATATTAACATTTGGATGATATTATTGAAGCCAAATGTAATTATGTTTAAAAAAATCAAAATATCAACAACATTAGTCTATTCATCAACTTTATATTAATGGTCAAAGTTATGACATGATAGTTGAATGATCAAAATTAGTATTCAATGATTATTAATATATAAATTTCACCCCGTACATATTCGCGGGTTATCACCTAATTGTATAATATAATAATGCAAAATGTATGTTCGTTAACAGAACCATTTTTATAGGCGCTGATAGTTATTATAGTGACAGATATATGAAGTTATTTAGTAAGTCATAAAATGTTGTGAAGATAAATGAAGCATAATTTTCTAAAGAGGGTCCATTTTTAAAAAAAAATCACACATAAAAAGAAGCCGTGACTTCATTTTGAGTAGAATAGATAGATATATTAATTTATCAACTTAGTATATTTTTATCCTATTTAATTTGGTATAACAACTATTTTAATATGATAGATTATGATTATAGAATAAATACAATAGGATAAAATTTTTATCTTTTATTTTATAAAAAGTAACTGAATATATATTAATATATAATAATAGTCTATTATTAATTATGAAATTAGTGAAAATATTTAGATAAAAATAATAAAAATTGAGATCTTCTAAAAAACTTTT